ACTGATCCAATGAAAATGGCCATGGTAGTTTAAATTTTTCTGTGTCAAGGTTCAATAAAATCTGTCTATTTGTTTTAGTTTTCTACATTCATGTCTATGTGTGCACAGAAGTTTGACCAAATATTCTTAATTACTTTACAAAATAATAATAAAAAATGTTTAATACTTTTATTTATTTTCACTACGTTCCTTAGTACTCATGTAACTACGATCAGATGACTGTCAGAAAATAACAGCATTTATTTATGTAAAAAAAAGCTTAGTTTTCTTATGTTGGTAGAACCCTGTATTGACGAAAAGCGCACTACATATAATCCTAAAACGTAAGGAGCATATACATATATAATAGTGAAACACTTTATCGTTCTACTGTTAGTAAATAATGTGATTTACGATTTCCCATGAGAGAGGAAACGTCGACTCTACTGCACTCTGAGCTTATCAACTTACAACGAGACGTTAATCTGTTCCAGTTAGAGCATAACCTCTCTTGAGATCCTCATCTTATGAAGGCTCCTAACAAGTCATGATTCTAATTCTTAATGATCAGGAAATATCGATTGTACTTTTGTTCGACTCACAAGGAGAATCTATGTTGAAATAGCACATTCATACTCCTTTATTATTTACAAACTCTAAGCACGTTTTATGATCATTGATGTGTGTGATGAATTTCGCCTTCAAAAGTATATGCATGTATATATCATATATGTATATATATAGTTACGCAACTATAGTTATTTGAAATTTAAATTTCATTTTAATAAAGCAAATATTTTCATGAATACAATTTGAGTTTCAACATACTTAACATGGTATCTTTTTCAGCTATTAATGTTTAGCTATTTCTGATTTGTTAAAACCGCATGACAGCAATTGATATACCTAAGTTAAAATTAAATATATATAATATAGACGTTCATTTCTACAAAACGGTACGGAAAAGGACCACATAAAAGACCTAAAGCGCTTTAAGTTTGCTTTGCCAGAGACGTTGAGCCCGCGGCCATAGAAGAAGAAGAATAGAAGTCCATTTATCACCAGTTACGTAATTATGAAATGTATCAGTTTTTCACTGTAACTAAAACGATATGAGGATATTTTATATATTAATTAGTCGAATCGCGGCTCCAATTCCACAAGAAATTAATGGCGGGTACGCAGTCCAGTAGAGTTGGATTGGGAAATGCTAGAAGACAGACCGACAAAGAGATAAAAAATCTTTCCTATAACAAGATGAAAAGGAGAACTACAAGGTGCACGCAATGAACCTAGAAATGCAGAATGAATGGTTAACTTTAGGAGAATTTTGTTTCCCACCAGCTTTGAAAGGGCGCACATTTTTATACGATTGGTCACTCGCCCTATTAAAATGTTACCTCAACGTCTTTCAATTAAGTCTCCCCGATCAAAGTAACCTGGTAAGGTGGGGAAAAGCCACAGAAAAGGCTTCTACGGAAATGGGTTCAGCCAGGCACTTACTGCAATTCATAATTTTACTTCACATAGATTTTTTATTTATTTATCCGCCATTCTTTTCCTTTCATTTGTCCTTGCGCCTACAGGAGCATGACTTGAACATCCCTAAAGACCACGCTTTAAAAAGAAGCAAGTATTTTGACTAAACCAACGAAATAACTAAAAATGGTTATTTCGTTGCGTTGTATATCGTAAAAGTGGGTGCGAGGGGTATAGAAGCTAAATCCCTCTATAACCTACTTAAAGATCTTGGGTTGCCAAGAGCTTCAGTAATGTATTTTCTAGAACAAATATCAAAAATCTAAAATAGGCATTGATAGGCTCGTATCAAATATGGTTAGGTGGAGGGGGTAACACGGCAGACAGTGGAGGTGAGCGCTGACGCTTTGCAAGGAGTATTCCCTAAACCTATCCCTGGGTTGCAATGCCCAGGCGCTATCAGAGTTGCATGTGTTGCCCCCATCGATCACGCGATGGACCCGGCACCCGCACGGTGAATTCATGGAACGCTAAGAAATAGGTCCCTTAATATTTAAAACTTAACTGTTCATCTGTTTAACTTTAATAACATATCAATGTGTAGTTAAATGCAATGATATAGTTAGGTGCAGAGCAAATATCTTATTTATATTTCCAATACTTACCAACAATCACAATATATGCTAATTGAAAATGTGTTATAAAAATATGCCACTTCAATACCATCCTAATTATAGTTTTTACTTGTTTACTAAAACATTATATTTTACTCGTACAAACCAAACCTACATTGACGAGTTTATAAAGACGTCATGTAGCTCGAATAACTGAGCACAGTCTTAAAAGATTTAAGTAAGAACTTTTTACTTTCCTTGGAACATAAAAAACTTATACATAAATCAATAGATACGCTACTATTGCTTAAAAGATTACGTAAGACGCAAGCATAGCAACCCTTATTACATAGGAGTGAGGTATAACAAGCGAATCCCACGTTGGGCGCCAAGAGGACAAGGCTACGACCTCCGTAAAGTAACAAACTTTCTAGTGAAACCGTTGTAGATTTTGAATTTGATTTATGGGGCCATTTTACAGTAAGTATTACTGTGTATTTATTGCTCGACACTCGCTTCTATGTTCTATTTTAACGAGTCTCTACGTTCTTAATATTTATACACTTTGTGCTGTCTAGTCCGTAATCTAAATATAGCATTAGCCATAGCATTGCTTGTGGTATCTATAAATATTAATATATTTATAGATACCACAAGGAATGCAAAGGAAAAAGAGAAAGTACATCCTGTAGTACAGGATGTACTTTCTCTTTTTCCTTTTGTACACATTAATTGCACGTGTTTCATTTTATGCATACTATTAAGGAAATTTGGAATACTTAAAGTGTAGTTCTGAAGGAAGTGCAAAAAGCTAAAATTATCAAAGAATATATATTAAGAACTTATATTTTACATGAAAACACCTACATTTAGCTACAAGTGTCCAGTATATTTGTATATCCTGTCACGGTCAACTTTTTAGAATTACAGTTCTAGTTATACTCGGCAATTAAATCTATAAGTAGCGGTGCTTGCCATGGTTTCACCGAGTGTACATTTTTATATTTCATTTTTTGCACAAGTTCTAATTTCTTTTTCAGAATAAAAATAGCATAGTTACACCTCATGACACTAGCTAGCTGCCAGTTAAACAGACAGAGATCAAAATGAAAAAAACTATTTTAAGTAACGTGTCAACGTAGAGACATGAGTTAGTGAAACGCTGTTATTACTTGTACACAGACATTACTCGCAGACTAATTTTATATAATTTTGTGGTTATAGATCTATAGAATACGTAATTCGACGTTTCAAGCGTTTTTATAAAGTTTTAGTACCTTATAATAATTACCGCGATTAAGTCCCTAGTTATAGGTCTAATTGAAATATATCTTCAGAAATATAGCCTACTTAAAAAGTATGTAGACCACTGAGTGAAGACCGGTTAATAAACCTCAGTTTTTAGGGTTCCGTACCTCAAAAGCTAAAAAAAGAACCCTTATAAGATCACTTTCTTGTCCGTCTGTCTGTCCGTCTGTCCGTGTGTCACCACCGATTTTCTCAGGAACGGGTAGACCTAGCAAGTTGAAATTTATACCAGATACTGAGGTCTATAGTCCCTATTAGGGAAAAAATCTACGTAAAATCTGGATAGGTACGGAACCCTCGGCGCACGAGTTCGACTCGTACCTGACAGGTTTTTTTTATGTTAGAGGGGGCAGACGAGCAGACGGTACTTCAAAGTACTTATTACGTGTAAGTAAAACGTTGTATTTTTATCGCGATAAGCCGCGGATAGCTACAAGATTAAATGCCTAATACTAACTAGTTGTTGATCTATATGAAAACAAAGTACTAATTATCTTAGTTTACTATTTGGAATATAAAGCACAGAAACAGAAAGAGTGTCACAAGTGCGTTTTAAGCTAAAAAGAAAATAAATATACAAAATGAAAGAACCATTTCTCATGAAACCTTTTTGACTAATAGTTTTGCCGTAATAATGTATATAATATATATATATATATATATTTCAGAGAGGCAGCATATATATGTCCAGCAGTGGACTATTAAAGGCTGTTGATGTGATGTGATATATTTCAGTGTCCTGTCTGTTACGTTTGTCCAGGGAAAATTTCGTTTTCTTTTTTCTAAGGACAAAGGAGAAGTATATGCATTTAGCACAATAAACATATACGTATCGTAAATCTATTGCATATAACTGTGCCGATCTACAACCGCCAGTTTGCAAGAGGGTCTGCTTGAATTACGTAGCTCTTATACGAGTATATATGTTGTAATATATATATTAACCATCGGAGAGCCAGGCTTCGGCACATACCGACCGACTAGACCAGAGATATACTTAGACCAGAGATACTACGACTTCACAGAAAATCGGTGTTAAGCAATAGTATTGTTGCTTTTCAACGAGTGAGTGAGGTGACAGGAGCCGCAAACACTGATTCTGGGGTAGCACTCAAAGGTCCGCAATACAATTATGTCCAACGAGTCCTAACTATGACTGGTGTCACTTCTCGTCGTTGCCAGAAGAATACGTTCGATAGAAAAGATTTCGTTAAGTCTAACATAGGCCTGCATTAAAGTAACTGACGTAAGAACAAAACTACCATAAATTAATTTAATACCAGACGCCAATTCGAAGCGAGCTCACGAATGTTGTGTTGGAATTTGCACATAATTTAAATCTTAAGTATAAAAATAAACTGGCTAGGCCATAGCAAACTATAATTCCTTTTTTTATGCTAAATCGTACGATGAGTCTCAATCGATAAGTAGGTTAGGCTCCTGTCCTTGCCTTCAGACATTAGAACATTTTATTGCAGAAGTTTATTGGAGGTTATATCATAGCATTTATGTATTTTATTTCATAAAATCCTACAATCGAATCGAGCTCTTTGTCAGTTTGTATCCCAAGAACATAAGGCTATTCAACTAATTTGCTCCAGCTTGTAATATTTTACTCACCTGTTGCCAGATGTGATATGGGAATCGATGCGCGATAAATGCAGAGGCAATGGTGTGCATAGTTGGTAAAAGGATGCCAAATGCTGCCGCTACAGGTGCGCCAACGGGGAGAAGAGCGTACGCTGCGAACACAGCCCACACGACGTGAGCCGCGCCTTCAGCAGCTGCACCAGTGTTCCAAGCTGGTAACGTAGCAGCTAGAGCGATGCCACCTCCAGCTAGTGCTAGCCAACAGGCCCTTGGCAACCGACGCTCTGGCGCAACACCAGCGCGTCCACACCACCACGCTAGACCGCTGCATAGAAGCGCGTGTGCGCTTAACACCCCAACCTGCATTTAAAAAATAAATTAATCAACTTTAGGTACTGTGTCATTTTATTATAATTGCTTAGAAAGTCCAAAAGCCGAAACAATCCAAAGTTGCAATAGAAACAATGTCAACTGATAAATGAGCCAAGCTAGATTTTACTTTTTTTACCTGCGTGGCAGTTAGTAGTCATTGCCCAACTTGAATGTATTCTTCAAGATATGAAAATATTTCCCAATCATAGATAATAGTTTCGATGAATTAAATTGCACTCCTAGACGTAAATAAATGTCATAAATAACGATGTACCTGAGGAGCCCTGCGCCAGCCGCGGGTGACATCGACGGCGGCAAGGGCGGCGGCAAGCAGCGCCCAAAGCGCAAGCGCTGATCCGACAGAAGTACGTTGTAGCTTACAGGCGTAACGAGCATACAACTCCTCTAGCTCGGCGGACTCAAAGCGGCGGCGCGCAAGCAGTCGTGAAAACGGCCCGCGCGCCGACATCGCCTTCACCGCGTGGTCCATGCCGCCCGCCACGGTCTCACCTTGTCACCATACACCCTTCCAATACCACCCGTCGCATCATCTGCAATAATACAACAATGCATGAATATCTAAGACGACAACATGTTTTGATTTGAAGTTTCTAATGTTAATGATAATAAGTATAAATAAATGTAAAATATAATAATTGTCCACACAGTAAATATTTTAATACATTGATTATTACTTCCAGAAGTAAGTAAATTCATATTCAATTCGTTTACACTAACAAAATTGTAAGCTATAAACATAGCGACTTTGATTTACATAAATCGTGAGTTCCCTAAAATCAAAATGTCAGCCTTGGAGCTAAACAAATTGATTCTGCATTTAAAAAAGCTATAACTATATTTCAAAGTCTCGGTCATTATGTTTTAATTATATGCTGTACATATACCAAAAGAAAAACAAAGATTGGATAGTTAACTTTTGCCTTGAAAACAATCGCTTTAATGCTTGAAGAGATACTTAATACTTGTTTAGAAACTTTTGGAATTTTTCATATGGGATATTGGTTAAATGGAAAATGGTGAACTTTGTTTCTACTGTCAAAAACCGTACTACTACAAAAATAAAAAAAAAACAGAAGACCGTACTAGTACTACGAAAGAACAGTTGTTGTTTCTGCTAATGAATCCGTATGTTGGCGATCGAGTTTGCCACGTATTATATGTTAGTTAGTTAGTGTGTGTTTTAGAACAGACAATTAGGAGAGTTTATTTACGAACTAATTCAAATTTAAAAAAAAAAATGTGTCATCTTTGCTTGATTAAAATTCTCTTATTTTAGTTAATAAATTTACAATATTCAATGTAACGATATAAATTTAATTTGCATTACGACAGCACTAAATTTGATTTAGACATTACTATAAATTAATTGCGAGAGTGTTGCCAATTCGATGAATGTACTAAAAAACTACTAGTTTGTAGAAGAAATAAAAAACAAAATGTTTAAAATAAATATCAATGTTTGTTTACGATTATCATGATCATAAATATGTAATAATGAAACTCTGTTAAATATATGATTTTGTGCTACGTTTTCATTTTGCGGGGTAACTAATATAATAAACTGAAAAAAGTAAGTTTTCTTCTTCCTCCGAGCCTTTCCCCCGAATGAGGATGCCATCAGACCTCCACAACCCATGTAGGCAACATCGAAGTTCTGTTCAAAGAAAGACTGTTGGTGGACTTTTTAGGGCTCCAACTACCCGAAACGATTGCCACAGATGTTCATGCGGCAACTAGGACCGACGGCTAAACGTGCTCTAAAGAAACGGTCTCAACGTGTTAAGAATGGTCACCCATCCATAAACTGACCTGGCTATGATTACCTATATTTGCAAAGTGTTGACCTCCTCGGTTACCACTTAGCCACGGGCCCAGAAATAAATCACTAATATAATACTAATTTAATTTTTACTTTTTACATTAATGTTTAAGGGTTTTAACGCCGTTAAACTACTACTACTAACTACTCGGGCAACACTAGTGTTGCTTAGGCTCAAAGTACTTATCAAAGTTGTTTTAATCTTAAAACTAACTTATGACAAGTATGTATTGTTTACAAAGGACTTTGTAAATTTGTTGAACTGGAAAGAACGTCCTTTGTATTTTATACATGCATTTTATCCTATTCTATTTGAGCACGTTTTCCGCCATATTAAATATGCTGTTTGTATATGGAGGCTGTTTTGCTTTCAAGTTGTGGCTGCCATTCGTAACACGTTCTCCTGTGGCGTCCCTGGTGTAGCTGCGAGCCATAGGCCACGTCTCAGTTTTCAACATTTTCTTTGCAAGACACAAACCTAAACTTTGTTCCTCTTTAAGTAACCACTTAAGGTTTCTTCTCTTGATATAATTATTCTCTTCTATAGAAGATAGGAATAAATTAATTATCACTAAGCCACGTTACGTTATAAAATAGGATACAAAGTCATTTTTCTTGTCTTTTGGAGAAACGTGGTTTACCTACTCAAGTAAATACAATTTTTACATTCTTTTGTATAAGTATACAATTCACAAAGTACATAAAACTTAACTTTTACTTTTAAAATACCCGCATTTTAAATTTTTTACCGTCATCTTTTGATGACTCTAAGTACCTACAAACTTAGTTATCAAAACTGTCTTTACATTCATTACATCATACTTACATACATACACAGTTTAAAATCAATATTATTAGTCTGAGAAAGACACGCACATTAATCAACAACAACACAACTTGCCTAATGATTATTTAAAGAGGTTTCTGCTTAACTTGCCGGGTTACTTACTCTTGCCGAAGTTTTCTAGTATCTTACGAAACTGGCATTGTGTCTGCTTTCAAGCATAATAATCCAATAGCCATAAGGCCACACTTTCCTCAATGCTAATGTTGTGAGATTCATCTTTAAACCAAAGTAATGATCGTCTCAACAGAAGCTCTTCCTACAAGGTTCTATCATCAAAATCCCTATCTACATTTTTCTGTAACTATATCAATTTTCCTTTTAATTACATGCGCACTGAATTAATGTGACACACAGGATTAACGATACCTTACTTTAGTAACTAAAAAGACAAGAACTCTTTACAATGTTCTTATTAAAAATGTGCTATTCCGCCCAAGCACTACCTGGCAAGAAAATCCCGAGGCAGTACCGTTCTCGAAGTTATAAATAGAGGATCTCTATTCCCTATTAAATCAAACTTATTTCTCTTAGAATCGAGAAATACGTTATAGAAAATATTTATTCTTTATCATTTTAACCTGTAACTTTTGCCCGAATTTAGCAGCCCTTAACTAAGAATAAAATAGCTGTCTTAAAACGACTAGTTTTCTTCTTCAATATTTATTATTTTTTAAAGATCCGCTCTTCAAAAAGAAGCACTAAACTCTATGGGGTCGCTTCGTTGTCTATCTGTATGAATGCCTGCCTAGACTGGACCGTGGATGGCAAAGACCTGTGCAGTTTTTTTTAACCTGTACGGCGACCGGAGGAAATAAAAAAAAACATTAAGTTTGGACCAGACCTTACGGTACATCTGTACATGGTCTGACTGCACAGGCACACCTGCACAGGTAGACCTCATGTGTGATCGGCTTAAGTTCATAAAACTTGGCAAGAAGCATGGTCTCACAGATCTTATATTCTGCGTTTGGAAAAAGACAACTATTTCACCTTATTTCAACAGGAAAAAAGTTTTTGGAAAATCTACTTTTATAAGTATATACGAGTATGTCATTCGAATCGGTCAGAATTTTTTGAGTAACGATTTCCGGGATTGACATGTAAGTTTGAACGGAACTTCTAATGCGCAAGTTAGACTTGTGTAACATAATATAAAATGTTTAGGCTAAGATATATCATATTACTTAATAATGATAATTATAGACTAAGTATAAAAGACCAAATCCACCATCATTAGATTGAGACATCAGGTTATTGAGCAGAACTACATATTACTGAGAATACCAACGACTATAAAATGCAACATTAAAAATTTCTCTCGCGTAAGTACATATATAAAACGGTTCTAGGTTTTTTTCCATTTGCGGAACTGACAGGTTTGTTTAAAACATTGAACGTATCGATAAAAAATATATTATTTATTACATGTAAGATTAACTATAATGTTTGAATATTATCACTGTTATTATTTTTTGTTATTTATTTACACTTTATTATATATTTACTGCGGAAATATATTATTTGTTGCCGCAGAAAGCACGATGAGTAACGTATTAAATTAGCTGCGAGCACGGGCTAGGCGTGGCCACGGTGACTATCAAATTAGCATAATTGAGTCATGTGCCTGCATCCAATAGTTAATGATCCGCGATACCTATGTGGTTTTTTTTTAATATTAGCGCAACCGTAACCAGAATAGTACTCAACCTTAAAAAAAATATAATCACAAACACACAAATGCTATTCAATGGTACGTATATAATACTTACATTAATGTACTATACCTTTATTTTTATTTTTATTCGGCTCGGATTTATGAAAGCTCAACACTACAACCCGCAGTCGGCTTTAATTTATATTAGTGGAACACGATTATGTTAATTAATTCAAAGGGTTTATTGATTATTTTAAAGTATCTAAAGTAGTTATCATCGCTGCCTATTGCGGCTTTATTGCAGACATAAATAGGTTCACGGTCACTCGAACGTTGCCGAGCCTGTAATTTGTTTTATGTCTATTTATATGTACTAGAGCATGCCTTGTAAACGAATTAGCCCATCATTCATTAACTTCAAATGTTTTATTTTAGATCACTTACCAATATTACTTGATCCATCAATGTATCAACTCTCCATACTAAATTTGCAGTAACACTGGCTCTATCACCTTTTCCGTTTTTTGAAATGATTAGTTACTTATTCTAGCTCCAACTTAATCTTGTAGTTATTTTGTTGTGTTAAAAATGTAACTTGGCCGGAATTAAGAACCCGCGACAATACCTAATTTGACAATGCCGCACAAGAAAAATATCTAGAACTCCTGACAAAATTCTAACGTTTAGTAGGAGTAAATACGCTTCCCAATGTATAGTATATTTCTTCTCTTTTCAGCCTTTTTTTGGAAATAGGAATCAAAAATTATACCCTTGTAACTGTCATTCGGGTATAGCCGTTATCACAGTCTTGTCACTGATAAGTGTCCTTGTACATGACAGCTCCCACGTCAGTCGGTCTGTCCTGGTTTGGTACCCCAAATAAAAAATTTAGATTCCAGCTTTACATTATATTCATCACTAAGTGTGCCATTATTGGCAACAAAGAAAAAATATCATAACAGTTCAGGGTTCGTCATTCAAATAGCAGTTTAGGTGATGCTGCATGATGTTAAATTGCACACAGTTGCAGAGGAAAACTCTTATCTATTTTTAATGAGTGTGACATTGATTACACATTTATCATCATTATTACTGTTTACTATATTAACAAAACATCTATCCAAATAGTTGATAACAGTTTTTTGATTTTTGAAAAGTATTTACTTAAGTATGTATATTTATGTATATTATTTACTAAAACAAATAACTG